ACACACACACACATGCACACACACACATACACCCCTCATATTCTAGACAGCCATATGTGGTGTTACATTATTTGAAATATATTGGACAACGATGTGTTATATTATTGCTATATCACCCCTTTAATAACCCCATAAGATGCTATAATATGTTACTTTATACTATTTCTGCATCATATTCGTAATAACCATTTATTACACTAGGCTACAATTAATCTTCTTCATTTCCTTGAAAACAGAAATGTTTTCCTATGTCTGTGTCACCTTGTTGAAAACCACACCTAAGCTATACTGCTGTCATCCCCTACCTGTTAATCATGTAGGATGGTATATTCTGGGTTATCTCCTTGGTGATCATATAAAAGGCTGCCATGTGTCTGCAATGATAAACATGCTAATTGTGGACTGTGCTCTCATATGTTTGCATCTATGTGTCTTAGACAACTATGTATGCTACAATATCACTCCAAATCTCCTTGGCAACCATATGTGATGCCACATTTTGGGTCCTATCACTGATGGTCATGTTTGATGCCCCAAGACATCTGCATCATCTCTGACCACTATGTGTTGTACAATATTATCGCTGCGTATAGCATCCTAAATGCTACAAAGGAGGGTGTAACATTTGACAAGCATGTATATTGCTAAACTATTTCTCTGTCATCTCCTTTACAATCGCAATTGTGTATGAGTCTGTACTATATCTGAATCATCTCCTAGATAACAAAGTGACGTGCAATTTTAGGATTCGTCTTTCAGAACCACACATGAGAAGATCATCTTCTTGATGATGATTTGTGACCCTGTCCTTTGTTTGGGTCTTGGTATCACCACATATTGTGTTAAAACATGACTGCATGATATCATTCATATCCACATGTGATGTTATACTATGTGTACTTCATTTCCTTAAAAACTATAGATGATATTATACTAAGTTATCGCCTTTATAACCATGTGTTATACCTCCCTATTTCTGAGTCATCACCTTGATAACCACACGTGACATTATACTGTCCCTTTCATCATGGGTAATGTTTTTGTCCTTGGTAACCACATATGATGCCTGCTGTTTATATGGACCAGCTCCTTTGTGATATTTGTGATGCCATAATATAGGTTATTTCCATGAGGAAAGCCTACAGTGCTACATTTGTGTAAGTCATCTCCTTGATATTCATGTATAATGGTATCCTATGTGCCATTTTAAAATTACCATATGTGATGGTACTCTACATGTACATCATCCCACTGATAACCATGTGATACTGTAAGTGTGTCATCTCCTTGGAACTAGGTATGGTTCTAAAATCAATCTTTATAGAGTCCTTGTACACCACATATATCCCTGCACTATGCGTATGTCATGCTCTTGATGGCCACTAGTATGCTACAGTGTCTCTGTCATCTCCCTGATCATCAGGTATGACATTACAACATGTCTACACCTTCTGCCAGAAGATAGTCATCCTATCTATCTATCTATCTATCTATCTATCTATCTATCTGTCTGTCTGTCTGTCTGTCTGTCTGTCTGTCCGTCCGTCCGTCCGTCCGTCCGTCCGTCCATCCATCCATCTATCTATCTATCTATCTATCTATCTATCTATCTATCTATCTATCTATCTATCTATCTATCTATCTATCTATCTATCTATCTATCTATCTATCTATCTATCTGTCTGTCTGTCTGTCTGTCTGTCTGTCTGTCTGTCTGTCTATCTATCTATCTATCTATCTATCTAT